ATCGGCTAATCCATGATGATATTAGTAAAAGTTGGTAGAATTTTTGACGCCTACTTGAAAGAAAATCTGAAGGCAAGAATACCAGGGTCCAGGCCGGTCTTAAAATAAATACTCAAGACTGTTTAACGTTATTTATAAAATTTCATTAAAAATGAAGGAAAGTCGCCTTATATGGTATAGCAATATCATGAGACGGGACGAAGATCATGTGGTGAAGGTCGCATCGGGCTTGCCAGAACAAAAGAAAGGTAGAGGCCGCCCGCCATCGACCTGGTGGTCAAACATCGAAAGAGACCTTAAGAAAGCCCAATTGCCAAAACCGACAACCCAGGACAGATCAGCCTGGCGCCGTAGAGTGAGGAGACCCGACCCCAGATAACGGGAACAGGGACGGATAGTAGTAGTATTGAACTACCTTGTTGATGTTTTTTTTTATTGCCCTTGTAGGCATACGAGCGCACGGCCCACCTGATGGTGAGTGGTTACCGTCGCCCATGGACTTCAGCAATGCCAGGGGCAGAGCCAAGCCGCTGCCTACCGTTTAATACTCTCCACAAGCCTCGTTTGAAGAAGGACATGTCATAGCGTTCGGGAAACACCGTGGAGGGGAACTCATTCCATAGCCGGATGGCACGTGGCAAAAAAGACCTCTGGAAACGCACTGTCTATGAACGCAGCGGTTCCAGATAATATGGATGAACTCTGCTCCGATGGCGGGAGGTGCGATGATAAAAAGGAGATGAAGGGATCATCTCAAACAATTCCTCAGAGCATTCCCCATGGAACATACGGTACAAAATATAGAGGGAACCGAAGTCCCTCCGCAGACCCAGAGGCTCCAAATGATGTGTGTATCGTATGGTCACGCGACAGAACCGCATGGCTCCACGTGGCGTCAAACAACGTGTGCTTTACGTAAATAGCTGTCCATTAATACGAGGAGCTCCACATATAAACGGAGAGCCTGCCCTTCAGATTAGCGAGGTCGAAGAACAATAGATGACCCACATCCAAATAAAACGGTTTTATCGATAAATTAGAAACAAGTACGTAGGTGTATGTAGGTATGTAAATAAATAATTATTAATCACTCGTTGGTAAGTGATGATTGCGAAGAAAAAATGGCTTCTATCGCTGTTTTCCTGATGCCCATCTAGGCATTATCTAAGTGTCTGTGGCTTGACCTATAACTTCCTATTATAAATGATATAGAAAACAATAAGTTCTTGTCTAAAAAATCAAAGATGCCTAAAAAAACTTTTTAAGCTATAGGAATGATTTATTAGAAATAGAAAATAAACAATTTCACGATATCGTTTTTTTTTTAAATTACGGTAGCGGTATCGTCTCTTTCTAATTGATAATATTAGTTCTTTATTACAGAATGTATTTCGTAACATTTTTAATGTCTTGAAAAAGTTCCGTCTTACGACAATGCAATTAAAATCTGATGCTAGTTATTTTGTTCCTTCTCATATTAATGCTTATGCTGCAGATGTTTATTATGTATAATCAAGCAAAGATATAGGCATCGGAGCTACAAGTTTTATGAGATTTCAACTAGAGATGTTTCGTTGCGTTAGCGGACCTCACCATAGCGGGTCAGCGGGTTGTTCTTTATCAATCACAGGTCTAGACTGTTCTAGAACACCCGTATCTTTGAAACCTGTATGAGCAATTCGGGCTTGCCACTTTTGTGCATCATGAAACTGAACACGATCGAGTTCTCTTTACGAATTAGCGGCTACAGTATCAACTTTCTAATCTGTGCGGCAACGGGCTCCATACTTCAGTGATCATAAGCCGTGCTTTTGTTGTACCCTTGAGCTAAGAAGAAACAAGGCGCTTTCTAATTGGAAATGCAAATTCCCTTGCAACACTGGCGCCGTGTCTTTCAATGTCTCAACGGCTTAGCAGATCGTGAAAGTACAGTTATATTTACACTTTTTTTTTCCCTTTTTTTTTCAATAACTCAAAGTAATTTACGACTTGTATACAGGCGCGCCTTAAACAGGGTCGTGTTAATGTTTTTAAATTTCGTAAATCTTGTGGCGTAGGTAAATTTTATAATCGGTTAATGAACGAGTAATTAAAAATGTTCGTGGCCAATTATGCCAATTTGGGTTGATCCTGGTTTCGGTAGCAAATGCTGATGGTGTGGTGTGTTCACATATTGTAAATGCCTTTGGGGTATGAATTCCAATGTAATTTGGACTTTGATATAATTCGGTCGCCCGTATCTCCATTTTTCGTATTTTAATTTTTATGAATGCATTTAAACATTCAAGTGACGATATATTGTCTTCTTTCTATAAACTTAATCAAGGAAGACTGAATAACAAAAACCAACTAACTGTGTATGATAGAACTAAAATGTTAAGTATGGCAGCTCTGATACACTGCTTTTATTTTGCGTATAAATACATATAAACAGCTTGACTAGCGCACTATGTACATACTGCCGATTTCTTACTGCAAGAACTAGGTATCCACCCTTCACTGAAAACAACATGTACTTGCAAACTATTACAACACAACACGCTTTACCACGATTAAGCATTTTTAATGTAGATAAGATATAATATACAAATTTGAACTTAATTTTAGTATACATTAGAACTTATACGCCATAAGTACATTAGTATTCAGCGTCCATTAAATAACCAAGTAAACGGCTGATAAGGTCATACGTGAAACGTTGCACCAGCGAAACATTACTTTCACTCGATATGAACCAGTGAAGTTGTTATAATGCAAACAGATTAGAAAAACAATATGTCCATTTCGTTTGTAAGACGTAACATGTCAACAAAACATGTCGACATGTCAATCCTGTAGGAATCAACTTAGCTATCCATTAGAGAACATAACTACTTACCAACGGGTTGGCCAAACATTGGATATATTTAAAAAAAATGACTACTAAACCATGAATAAAATAAATAAACGTTCCACATTTAGCAATAAAAAACTAGAATTTTCTAGAGCGCGGATCCCGTGGTCAGTAGATACCATACGAGCAACGAAGTGATCATAAGGAAGATTACAGGAATATCTAATGAATATTCTACAAAGAAAATAATCTGGAGAAACATATTGTATTAAACAAAACGACTTCGTAAAAAGTCCTAAAACTTTATGAATCACACTTGATGGTTTGAAAAATAAAAACGCTAAAACGTCATAGGGGTGCGTATTCCGGGTGGCAGCCGGTGCAGACTGCAGGCTTCAATCGATTCACGGAGGAAGGGGGGTGAAGGGAGTATTATGCCGGAATACAGTCATGGTCAAGGTTATGTCGCGTTCTCGTACAGATACTAGACTAGGTACATAGTTACCGTCTGTTTTATTAACTGAAAACTGAATTGGAAGTGAATGTATTAAGTTCTGTGAAATTCGTTAATAACTTACGTTCACCTGTATGTATGTGGAAAACTCGTATTAAATATGTCGAATGAATAAATATCTGTAGTTAGTTATTTTATTACAGTAACTAATACATTTATTTGATCATTAAAATAGCTTGTACGCAAATTTCTGATTAGTTACTGTTAGCACGTGTTATGTAACGAATTCCCAACAAATGAAAAATAACATTCACGACAATAAAAGAGTGCGCAGTTGTTTTAGCTTGACCTTGGCCGTGAACGGCGGGCGTCGCGCTTCACCGCGACCGAAACGTTATACAGAACCTAATACCTACCTACCTACAGAGTGAATTGCATTTCATATTAGACACGCGTTCCATAACAAAATTATCGAACGACGCGCAAATTCACAAATCGAATCGAGAATTTGAAATCACTGGATAACGATTAATGTAAATTCTAAATGTCAAGCCTGTTTTACGGTCGTGAGTATAGATTTGATAGCCATTAGTTTAGCGTTAACGAGCATGAGTTCCGCATACAGTGCGTCGCAGAACTAAATACACGATATGACAATTGTACGATATCAATATGCAAACTCGGTATCAATATTTACCAGTCGGGAGTAAACGATAAAAGCGTTGGTAAATACAAGCATAATAATATCAAACAAACGCACCTTAAAAAAATTCTCTCGTGAACAGAAAGCACGGTACATATTAGTAAATAAAGTTATATGAGGCGATGACATCAGCTCTCTTTACAAAACAATGAATTCCGTTTAAACATACCTACATGGAATTTCAAAATTCGAAAATATGTAAGTTCTATTTAACCGTATTTTAAAACAGAGATCGCATTCCAGGACCTTTGCAATTTGAACTCTGAATGATGTTTGTAAGCTATTTAAGAATAGTTCGCATTCATAAAATTCCTATAATTTCGTGACAAGTGGAACAATAGAGCAAGTTTATGGAAAAAATAATTTTAGTTTAACTTATTAAAGTAAAGAAGCATTTTGAAAGAAATAATCTATGAAGATTATTTCTTTGAATAGGTTATGAAACCTATCTTACAACTTGATAGGTACTACTCGTATAGTATCAAGTCTTATTTTATTGAGACAATGAAAATAACAATATAAGCATAGGTACTCGGGATCAAACATTCCAATATACATAGCATTGAGCGTGGTCAGTATTCTAATACCAACAATAATAAGAGCAAATTCAATAATAATAAAACAATCATCAGAACAATAATAAAATCGTACTAATACCTATGTATTTTTTTCGTACCTACTACACCCGAGAGGAGCGTCCAATTTTTTTGTGCTTTTTATTTCAAAGAAACCGTCACTTCATTGATAAGTTTATTTTCGAACAGTAGGTAAATTCGTAGGTGTTTTCGACAGACAAAAACGATTGCACTCAAAGTTATCAAAATTTTAAAGCTTTTTATTTCTTTATTTGTGATTGAAATGTTTTTAACACACATAGGTAGTTACAGTTTTTCAAAATAAATTTTATAGTTTTAGTTTTAGTGAAAATTTGCAAATAAGGCCAATAAAAATGTTGCATCAATGGAATGTGATATTTATTACCTACCGCATCTAGAAAAAAAAATACTTACCGCTATCTACACTCTCTTCCGATACCTTCTTGACCATCTTGATTGCTTGATACGTTGATACAGCGATAATGATATTTAAAACGAGTAGGTGTACTACTCTTAAAAGCCGCTTTCAAACTTGTGGCGGTCGCCTTCTCGACGTGAAATCGGTACAGCGTTAAAAGATGAAGGAAAAAAAAACGCCAAAAATAATACGAGAAATTAACGAAAAAAGCACCACCGTCGAGAAGGATGTACGTAAATTGTGCCGGAAGGTAATAAACAAACACTCTTAGAAGACGGAATAAAAAACTGCTGGTATCGTTAGCGATCCATCCTACACACGCCCGCCTATCCGATGTTCTGAAATCCAACTGAGGAATTGAGGATCGCGACTCAGGTCGCGGACGCGCGGAGTCAACGCGAACCGGCGCGCACATCATACGTAGTACCTCTTGCCCCTCAGTTCATTCTTCTCCCCGCCGGTCGCCAGATCGTGCGAGGTGCGTCGTTGTTTTGGCCTCTGTTTCTCGCGCATGCGTGCTCGCTCGGTCTGTTGGTGACGTGTTTATATTTTTAATTCATTTTTCTGGATCTTAAAATTGGGGAGCTTTAGATTAATTTAGCTGAACTTAACTGCTCATTCTAATTCTTTCCGAACATCTACTAAATACTCCTCAACTAGTTTATTGGTTTATGAAAATTTTAGGTTCTTGCATTAAACCTATCTAACAGTGTAGGTAATTAACTTTCGTAACGAGGTATTGCGGTATTGCATCATCCTATATAACCACATACGTTATATACTTGTGTCTTCTATGTTCCATGCTATTTATATACCTATCTACTTTTATGTTTCCTAATGTTCCTTTTTTTTGTCAAAATACTCTAGTCATTAAAGGTAAATAAATACGTTACGTAAATAACGTCTTATAAAATTTAGTTAATTAAGAAAACAAAGAAATTCAAGAGGAATCACGAATCACATAAAAAAAAGGTTTTTTTTTAACTAAACACATGGTTTCTAGTTAAATTGAAACCTAATTTTCGGATCCTTTCAATTCATGGTGAAAATTAGTGCCGATTTTAAATTGTACAGTCTGGCTGAATGTACTGCCGTCTTTCTTTTGGTTTTCTATTTCTCTCGGGTGACCTTCTAGAAGGGTTTGTTTATAAACACGCTACAGGAACGACAGATCAATGCAGCTGTACGGCGCAGAACGCACGTGGTAAAGTACCTATCTACAAATCATATAGAAACCGGTCTGCCCGGCGACCGGCGCCGCCATGTTTGTTGTCGTTGTCACGCCATTATATTGCCTTCTCTGTCGCACTTTAAGCGCTTCTCCTCTAATTTCCTCCATTTCTGTCTAGTGTCGGATCTCTCGCTCTCGGGCCTACGTGACCGACAATAACAATAACATAACCCCGGCAGTACATAGTATAGTTTATTAGCAGACATCGAATAAAACAGGAGATAAGTATAAAAATATGTATTTTTTTTACTCAACTCTTTAATTAAACGTCTATTTTAATAACTAATATGCATTTGATTCGTTGACGTCTTCGCCACATTTCAATTAGCATATTTAGCAAGAGGTTTGTGAATAGGTTGTTTTGAGAGGCCATAGGTTTTAAAACTAGTTATCAAGTTTTAAAACGATATCGCGTGAGTTTAGTTTATCGCAAACATGTCAAAAATTATCTTGGTGTGTGTGTGTTTGTGATTTTAAATGCTGCGTAATAGTTACATGATGACAGTTTCGAAAAAGCTAAACGATCAATCAAATTCACTTATATTAAGGAGAACATTAGATTTAAAATAAACATTATCATCACAGGTGACATCATCTCAACAGCTTGATACCTACATTATTTTCTAGAAAAATATCGTTGTGGAATAACGCAGGTTCAGAATAGTTAGGTTAGTACCTAGTTGTGTTATTGAATTAGATATTGAAATACAATAATAATTATTATAAATTAGTAGATACGCAGGCTTATTCGTCTCGTAGGTACCTACGAATGCGGGAGGCGTTTGTCAACTGTTCTGGCGCCATATGTGCCAGTAAGTGGGTAGTTTGATCGTAGATTTTTTACAAGTTACATTGCGCGCTCACAAAGCTATTTGTATTATGCTTGGCGATTGATTTTTTAATTTCTGTTTACGTCAAGGTAACGCATAATAGCGTTTAGGCTTCGGTACCTAGTTCTTTTACACGAAATAAGTTTTGAAATTTCGTAGACAAGAAAAAACCATTTAAATCCCAAATCGTTTCCTATAACCATTTGTTACGTAATAGTAAAAGTCGAAACAGAATACCCCGAGAATAAATACATTTCTTACTACATTGCCTACACATCCCTTAAACCATACGTCGTAAGGTCGAAATTGCGTGGGCCGAAAATTCCTATTGCGCAGTTGTTTGTGATCCGGGAGCCCTCCTTTGTCTCGTATTCAAGTTACGATCTACAGTGTAAGAATTTTATCATAATATATGTTTAAATTACTATATATATATATAAGACTCAGTATATTCTGTTATTATATTGCGTGGCCATAAGTTGTGATCCTTAACCCTTCTAGTGCAATAAAAAAATTGACAACACAGCGAGACTCGCCACTCTTTACCCATTAGGCTACAGACGCTTTTTCGACAGCGTCTCTGATAATGTTTTGTTCTATTTAATTAGTTTCAGATTTAATCTTTATGCTAAAGCTATCCCTGATCCAATATAACTAATCGATCACTAATTCATATTTGTAATACATATGTTTTACTATTAATTGCTTATAAAAATAGTTTAAATAAGTAGGTATCTAACACAAAATTATTTTGTTTGTAAAGAAAAAACTTGCTTCTTACTATAAAAAAATAGGTTACTACGCTAACAGCTTTATGGTTGGTTGTAAATAAATAATCTATTCACTACAAGCACCCTTATGTTTCCTTTCACTGCATTGATGACCTTTCCTATTCAGGATTAAGTTCAAAATGCCTTGTATCAAAGTACCTATCCTTTGTTCGTACAGAATGCTCCCGGGCATTCCCTGGGATAAATTTTTCGTTTGCTCGCGATACAGGGATGTCTTATTGTTTAGGGGTGATGCAATATTTGTCAATGATTACAACATTTGCATGGATGCATCGCGCTATGCACGTAGCACACGATAATATCTTTTAATATATCTTTTTTTATTGCCGTATAGGCAGACGAGCATACGGTCCACCTGATGATGAGTGTTTACCGTCGCTCATGGACGTCAGCAATGCCAGGGGCAGAGCCAAGCCGCTGCCTACCGTTTATAACTGTTAGTCCAACTGTTAGTTTGTAAGAAGAATTAGTTAAATAAATAATGATATTCTTATTGTACTCACTTAAATTTAAAGTCTATATTCTTTTAATTTTCTATTATTCCTGTGTAATATTAATTTGCTCAATGATTTAATTAAACAAAGTGTGAAAAAAAACATTTAGGTACTGCACACCCTCTCAGAGCTGTTAACTTATTGTCAAACAAATAATTTCCGCTCGGTAAGTAAAATATCTTATAAAAACCTAAGTAGAATCATTACTTTAAATTCTAAGCTAGTCTATTCCTATATATTATGTAAAACGTTATTTGTATTCCTACCTATTTACTCTTGCACCTTGTGTGACTTATGTTAGACCACAGGACAAAAACCTCCATCTTTGCAGAGGTTTTAAAGTTATGTAAAGTGTGTTCGAAGGATTGTCAACATTATTTTTGCTTGTAAACCTTAACTTCCTACAAAGTCTTAGTAGGTAAAATAAGGTAGGTTAATTAAAAAAAAAGAAACTAAACTTCATTAATTTAGAATATACATTATAATGTATGATTAAAATATATGTATTACATGTCTAATATACATTACACATTAATGTCTGATGTATATTAGACAAGGTGCATGCGTCCTGCCTATTTTTGCCGCTATCGTTCATGCGTTCCGATTTGAAAGGTATATAAGGCGTCTCTTATACAGAACAATTGAGGCATGGCTTTATGACTCACTGGGTCGCGATGTCTAGTGCATAAGTTCCGCTAAACACAATCAGGCGGGCCTTGACTCGTCAGCTCATCTCTAGCCATCAAGGAGTCTGCTCACAAAAGATCCCACGGACTACTACGTGAGCGGTGGCTGATCCATTGAAGCCCCGATTATAATACTCTTTAAACTTGAAATACATAGATATTAGAAAGTCGAATCGTTGAAAATTCAATAAGAAACACATCATTTCGGATCCTCCCGATCCACTAACGGTGCTTTTAGGTACCTCAAGCACCGGTCATCGTTCTCATCGAACCCGTCGCTTGCGACGAAGGGCTCGACGAGTAAATTAACCCTCAGACACAGCCCACTGAGTTTCTCGCCGGATCTTCTTAGTTGGTCGCGTTTCCGAACCGGTGGTAGATTCTGCGAAGCACGGCGCTTGCTAGGGTTCGTGTTAGCAACGTCGTCAGATTTGAGCCCCATGAGCTCACCTACTAGTTAAGGTTACGCTGAAATAGCCTCCCAAGACTCTCAGCTTAGGTAGGAAAAAAAAACAATAAGGTAAAAATCCTTTTGTTCTTTATTCTTACGTATTAACGATTAGTCAGAAAGAAAGTCTGAAACAAGAACAAGAATAATTAACTTCACAAAAGCTCCTTATTATCAAAAAAGCAGGACTATATAAAATATTATTCTAAATACCTATGTTACATATTTTTTTATGTAATCAAATCACATTTCGATACTTATCTGTTCAATGATTATTATTCGGACGTGTTTTTTTGTATAAGTTTTTAAATTCACTAAACTAGTTTCGATCTAAGACCGAAACTCAATCAAAAATAAGCCATCAAACACCTACATAATAAACGAATTATTATGATTTTATCACTGAAATTAAATTCCAATGAATAATATAACCTCAAAATAGATATCGATATATCATCGTATGCTATCAGCATACGTTTGATAATACTGTTCATATTATTTAAAATGTTATTGTCGTCCGTATAAATATGGATAACAACAAAGTGCCTTCTAAGAATCGTTCGTGATTTTCTTCGAACACCGACAGCTGATCAGACTTTTAGTATTACCTAAGCATAAACATCGACCATTGAAATATTCAAATATAAACACCGTTCAGTTGATTAGTTGACGGCTGAGAACAAACTAAACGTGTGAGCGTTAAACAAAAAAAGTATTTCAAAAATATTTTCGACCTGCATGAACGGTGAGACCGTGCCAGTTGCCAAGGCCATGTCGATTAATACTTCAGTGCAGTTCGAAAATACTGATAATTTTTCGGATCCTCCCGATCCACTAACGGTGCTTTTAGGTACTTCAAGCACCGGTCACCGTTCTCGTCGAACCCGTCGCTTACGACGAAGGGCTCGACGAGTAAATTATT